CATCACATGAATATCAGTAGATGTGTAAAAGATGATGTGGTTACAAAACGTAAAGGTCAAGAGTGAAGATATTTAAGGTGGGAGGCAGTGCAGTGTACAGGAAAGAGAACAAGAGTTTGCATAGCTCTGTTCTGATCAAGCAGCATGACTGTAAACCAAGGACTCGTTCATACATCCGCTCAACAAATACTCATTAAGCAACTACTGTGTGCTTAATCTTCCACAGTAAGTGAAGCAAACATGGTCTTTGTTCTTGAGAACTCACAATCTCGTGAAGATAATAGAAATGGAAAGATCCTTTGGCATTGCCCAGTCCAGTTCTCTTTATAACAGAGGGAAAGACCAAGACTGAGGCAGAGCTGCCTAAAATCACACAATGAGTTGGTTAATAACACAGCTGGGCTAACCCTACAACACTGCTTCACCTCCAAGAAGCCTTACCGCCTGCCTCCAGCCCCACAGGACTTCCAGAACAACTGAGCTGGGGGAGATGGAAGCAGCTCAGAAGGTTTATTGTTATGCATAGAAATGTTATTTTCAGAAGTGACAGCCATGCACATGCTCATAGTTCTGGGAACTGAAAGTCTGAGGTCAGAGTGCAGCATATCCAGGTCGTTGGTGTGAGTTCTCTTCCAGGTTTGCAGAGGGACACCTTCTCATAGAATCTTCATATGTGAAGCAGGGAAGAAGTTCTCATGGCTTAATTACCTCCCAAAGCCCCAACCCCCACATACCATCACACTGAGTGAGGATTAGGCTGCAGCACTCAAGTTTGGAGGAGACAGAGGTTCAGTCCATGGTACGCATCCTAACCATACATACCATACTCTTTTCAATACTTGCATTTATCTAACCAACTCCCATTGATGAGTGTCTTCCAGTCTTTTCCCAAGTAAATAATGCTGCAAATGACCTTTTCAATTTATTCTTTTAAAATTGTATCAGATCATGTCACTTTTCTCCCCCAAAATCTCCAGTGGAACCTGGCTTCATTTACCTTCCCCTACATGGCCCAGTGATATCGGTACCTCACCTCACCCCTTAGTTCTGGGACCACATTTTCTGTCCCCTGCCCTCTCCGATGGGTGACAGAGGCCTCCTTGGTGTCCCTCAGAGCTCTCCTCCCAACTGTCCCATTGGTTCACCCCTTGTTTCCTTTCAGGCTTTGTTCAATTTTGTCTTCTCAGGAATATGCCCCAGACTTCAAATAGCACATCACACTTCCACGGTCTCCCCCTGCCTCCCTTCTCCACTCCCCGCCATTTTCACATGTACTTAGCACCATCTAATGCATTGTGTAAACCTCTCACTCACTGTCACCTGCCTTACATTGTCACCTACCTTCCCGCACAAAAATGAAAGCTCCCTGCAGGCAGGAATTTGTGTCTTACTTGTTCATTAATGAGTCCCTGGGAAGTGGGACACAGTAATTGGCATTCATATTACATATGTACTTTAATAAGCCAGTTAAAGTGAAGGAAGAAGGAAAAGCGTACTCTGGAGGGGGAGCAAAGGAGTTGCCAATGTCATCTCTGCCTTCCAAAGCAAGACCTTTGCATATAACCGCACTGCATCTTCTATGGGGTGTGTTTATGTCACTTCACATATGCATCTCACACAATTCTCACAATAATTTGTGAGGTTAGAAAGAACCTTCATTACTGTCTTTTAGAATGGAAGACATTTAGAGGCGGTCACACAGGGGAAGGCGGAAGAATCTATGGCTTGAAGGCAAAAACCTGGCTCCAGCAACATGGTTTTAGCTACCAGACTTCAACTCAAGTTTCTACTTAGGCCACTGCACTTTTTAAAGCCAGTGAAATCCTAGGAAGCCACAAATAAATCATCATGGCCCCAAACTCTGAATATTATTTATACGTGTGCACACACACATACACACACACACACACACACACACACACACACACACACACACACATCGAGAGACTCATGAGTCTGCTCCAGGCTGGTGACACCCTGAGATGTAATTAACTCACTCAAGGTCACAATGCAGTGTCATGGAGCCATGATCTGAATCCAGATAATCTTCATTCCTGGGTTTACACCTAGTGCAATAACCACACTGCTGCACTCGGGCCGGAAGGAAAGGAAAGTGGATGGAAGAGCTGCACATATGCAAGCCCAAGGAGCTCCCAAGCATTTCGCTGTCCCCAAGGGCTCACACCAATCTCCAAGGCTGCCGTGTCCTCTGGGAAGTTTTGACTTACAAGGCTCTTTCAACAGGAAGAGCTGCCAGCTCAGAGTAGCTTGGTCAGGGTGGTGGCAGGGAGCTCTCACAGGGCACGAGAGCTCAGCACCTCCGGGTTTAAAATAGCACATAAGTAACAGGTGACAGCTGTCCTCCAGCTACCAATGTGGCGCTGGGTGTCTGATGACGGACAATGCCAGCACACGTCAGGTCCCCCAGGCCCACTTACTCTTGTCTCCGCATCTCCTGTCAGAACCCCACAAATCACGGTTGCATTTCCCGGGAGGTCCCTTGTGGGGCAGGGCTCGCGACAGACGACACACGCGGGCCGAGAACAGGCATCTCGTCATACTGCCTGTGGGTACCTGTGAAATAAAGACAAAGAACAGAGGCTGCATTTCCTCATGGGTGGTCACCTAGGCGCTTACTTACTTTATTATTCATTGTTTTATGCTATCCTTGGCTTGTTTTTCATTTCTTAATGATATCTTTTTGGGAAAGGTTTTTTATTTTGCTTAAACCCAAATTTTTATTTTTCTCTTTTTTTACTAGAGTATTTTGTGTCCTGGCTATAAAAATCTTTGTTTATAATCCGAACTCTCAAGTATTCCTCTCATGTTTTATTCTGGAAGTTTCGCATGTTGGGTTTTTACACATAAACGTCTATACTATATTTTGAGATAATTTTTTCTGTGATTTGGTTCAATACTCTTCTACCCATTATTAACTCAGTATTAGTGTTCTCCAGAGAAACAGAAGCAATGGGACATACACACGTGTGTGTGTGTGTGTGTGTGTGAGTGCATGCATGCATGTGTGTAAGAAAGGACAAGATTTACTTTAAGGATTAGTGACAGCTTATGATGGCTTGGTGAGTCCAAACACTGAGCGGGTCGGCCGCAGGCTGGGAACTCAGGAGAGAGTTGCGATCTAAGTCCAAGGCCAGTCTGCAGGCAGAATTCCTCTCTTGCTCAGGGAGGTCAATCTTTGTTACAAAGGTCTTCAGCTAATGGGACGAGGCCCACCTACATTATGGAGGGGAAGTTGCTTCACTCAGAATTCACCAATTTAAATGTGAAACTTATCCCAAAAACACCCTCACAGAGCCATCTAGAATAATGTTTGGCCCAAAATCTAGAATAATGTTTGGCACTGTGACCCAGCCAAATTGACATATAAAATGAACTCCTATACCCACATAGCTGTGCAATTATTCTATGGCCCCTTGTCGCAAAGGGTATGTTGCTTTTCCACTGAGTTACTATGGGAGTTTTGCCAAAAATCAACTGAAGGGATAGATAAATAATAGATAGATGATAGATAGATAGATAGATAGATAGATAGATAGATGATAGATAGATAGATAGATGATAGATACATGATAGGTGATAGATAGATGATAGATAGATAGATAGATAGATAGATGATAGATAGATGATAGATAGATGATAGATAGATAGATAGATGATAGATAGATAATAGATAGAGAGATAGATAGATGATAGATAGATAGATGATAGATACATGACAGATAGATGATAGATTAGATAGATAGATGATAGATAGATGATAAATAGATGATGATGGATAGATAGATAATCTGGATCTCTTTTTGGACACTCTTCCATGGCTCTATAACTCTATCATTATACCAATAACCAATACAACTGTCTTTATTTCCATAGTTTTGGGCCGGGGATATAGCTCAGTGGCACAGCACCTGCCTTGTAAGCACAAGGTCCTGAGTTCGATTCCCAGTATCAAAAAATAAAATAAAATAAAATAAAATAAAAATAGAAAATATTTCCATAGTTTTGTAGCAAAGCTTGAACTCAAGGTGTACAGATCCTTTAGCTGTGTTCTCCTTTACAAGATTATTTTGGCTTTATTTCCTTTCTGTTATTGTACAGTACACATTTTAGAATCAGCATGTCAATTGCTTAAAACATAAAAATCTTATCAGGAAGTTGACGGTGAATGCATTGAAGCTACAGATCATTTTGGAGGTCCACTGACATCTCAATAGTTAAACTTTTCAATATATGCACAGTTTATCTCTCTGCCTTTTAAGACTTCAATTTCAGTAATGTTTTATAGTTTCCAGGGTACAGGTCTTCTTACTGTGTTAAATTAGCTCCTAAATTGTTTGGTTTTTGATGCAGTTATAAAGTATTTTTACTTTTTTTAATACTGAGGATTGATTGAGCCTAGGGCCTTCACAATGACTTACATCTCTAGCCTTTTAAAAAAAATTTTTTAATTTTGAGACAGGATCTCATTAAATTATTCACATTGTGCTAAAATTTGTGATTCTCTTGCCTTGGCCTCGCAGAGCACTGGGATTACAGGTATGTGACCCCACACCCAGTTAAATTTTTCATTTTCCAATTATTCATTGCTAACATATAGAGAGGCAATTTATTTTTTAATCTTGTGTATTAGAATTCACATACCTTCAAAGAAAGTGAATGGTGAGCATGCTGGTGCACGCCTGTAATCCCAGCACTTAGGATGCTGAGGCAGGAGGATCATTGTGAGTTCAAGGCCAGCCTGGGCTACAAAGTGAGCTCAAGGCCAGCCTGAACTGCATAGCAAGAATTTGTACCAAAAAGACAAAAAACAGAAGAAAGTGAGAGCTTGGAGGTCTGTGTAGCTAACACCTCCCGGGTGCTGAGTTCCCCCTTCCACAGAGCTGGCAGCTGGAACTAGCGCTGTGACTGTAAATGAGCTTAGTTCCTCCCTGAGCGCTGACCCTGGCTGGTCCCAGGGCTTGGGGCCCACTGTTCCGCAGACTGCATCATTTTCCATTCCAGCCAGTGCAGGAGCCAGGCTAAGACTGTGCTGAGGACCGCAGCAAGGAGAGACCCCAAAAAGGAATGTCTCCAAAACAATAGGTACTTTAACAGAAACACTGAGATCGTCTATGTGGGGAAATAGATGAAGTTTTAGGGGATTTCCTTACACTAAATTTGTGATTTTTACTTATTTGTTTTGTTTGTTTGGGTTCGGGTTCTTTTTTTATTTTTACTTATGAAAGGGCATATCATAGTCTTTCTATACTTACAACCTTCCAATCTAGCCCTGTCCTGAAAAGGCTTCTGAAAATCTTCCTCTAACCTTTGTTCCAGAAAATTCCTAAAAACCTCTTTGCTCCACGTTGTTTACAAAAGGAACAATTAGTCCAAGGATATAGCTCAGCAGCACAAGCGCCTGCCTGGTAAGCTCAGGGTCCTGAGTTTGATTCCTGGTACTAAAAATAAATAAATGAATAAAAAAGGAACAATTACCCAGAGCTACCCATGTTTACATGAAAGAGAATACAGGTTACTTAATATGAAGGTAAAGAAATTTGCAGAAATATACTCTTTAAAGTATTATTCATAACACCAGAACAGGGGAAATAATCTAAATGTCTGCTCATTAATTCAATCATGGGTACATCTGGCCTATGGAATACCACCTTTGAAGTGAATGCAGATCTACCTGTGTGAAACAAAACCTTCGCCAGCATCCATTTCTAGATGAAGAAAGCAAGATGCAGAGCAATGTACACTAGGCTCCCATTTGGGTCTGTTTTTTTTAAGGAAATCTATATTCACATATGCTGATTTATACATGAAATTTTTCCAGAAGAATAGACAAGAAACCCTGCTCGTGGTTGCCTCTGGCGATTAAAGCAAGCAATCTAAGTACAAGAAAATGAAACTTTATTTTCATTCTATACACTCTTGTACTGTTTAGCTTTTTTGTCATTCACGTACAGAGTTTCTACTGAAATAAATAAAATGGCTACTTTTAGGTATCATCTTCTAATGATAGAAGACAATGAAAGACATACTCTATGGATAGCAATTAGAATGCATTGATTCATTTGAAAGACTGCTGCAGCATTTATCATGCTGCATGTGCCATCCCTGCAGAGTTGCCTGTGACGGGGTCCCTCTTTTGAGAAGGTGCAACCGTTGCCATCTCAAGCTCTGAAAGGAAGCCCGGCAGATTCCTGGTGCCCTAAGAACCCACCACTTCCTTGCACAGTGACTGTGGGAAACTTCAGATCACCTCAGCTTCTCTGTCTGCAAAGTGGATGTCTGCAAAGGCCTTCTCCCCACCCCCGGAGAACTGGTGTGAAGAATGAAGCAGGTGAGATGTTCAGCCTTGGCTCTTAGCCAATTGTGCTGCACGTGGGTCTCTGTCGTGGCAGACACCGTTCTCTATCTGAACTCTAGCTCCTGACTGTCTGAAAATAAGGGGCCTCTTAAGTCTTGAAAACCCACGGGCCCTCCCTTATCCAAACACTCTATCTGAACTTGTCAACAAAACAAATTCAAATAGTAAGGACGATCCTTAAGACACTCAGAGGAGGAATCTGAGTCAGCCTTAAAAGAGAAGTGCACATTCAGAGGCAGAGGGTGGGAGGAAAGAGGGGAAGACAGCAATGGCCAAGAAGCCCTGGTGGGTGCCTCTGTCATGGGAGACCGGCAGGGAAGGCAAGGTAAGGATTCACAGGCTATGCCAAGAACCCTCCAGAACAAAGTGGATACCGAAGGTTGGGAAGCAACAGAATTTCTTGACCCCACAAGAAAGCAATGAAGACAATGCCATGAAAATGAAAAGAAGTAGAGGGAATAGGTTTGTGTTGTGTCGTGTTTTGTTGTGTTTCATTTTGTTTTGTTTTGTTTTGTTTTGTTTTGTTTCGTTTCACAGTACTGTGGATTGAACCCAAAGAGGTCTGAGCTAGATCCCCAGACCTTTTTGTTTCTAATTCTGAGACAGGGTCAAACTCACTCAAACTTGCAATCTTCCAGCCTCAGCCTCTCAAGTAAGCTGTAAGCACCCTAGCAAGGAGAGGGAAGCTGGATGACCCCAGGATGTGGACTACCTAGAGCAGTGATGGCGAACCCCGTGGAGAAAGAGTGCCCAAATTGCAACCCAAACCTCATTTATTATCACAAAGTGCCCACACTGCAATTAAACCTGAATATCAAGATAGTTCAAGGTGGCCTTGAACTCACTTATATAGCTCAGGCTGGCCTCAAACTCACAGCAATTCTGTCTCAGCTTCCTGAGTGCTGGGATTACAGGCCTGAGTGCTGGGATTACACCTGGCGAGGTTTTAGTTTAGGCAAAACAACTGTTACCCAGTGCTCAGGTGCTGGGGTGACATGGCTCACATGCTGACAGAGTGGGCTCTGTGTGCCCACTGAGGAACGTGTACCATAGGTTCGCCACCCCTGACCTAAAGTTTGATGAGCAGTTGGATGCTGGGCTAGGGAAAATGAGGAACAAGCTGAGGACAAACTCCAGACTTCTAGCTAGTGCAGTGAATCTAAGTTTTCCACAACAGTAGGAAGGGGGAATGAAGATACATGTGAGAAGGCATCACATTGTCCCACACAGTTTGATTTTTTTGTTTTAATTTTCAAACCATCAGAAGCCCTGAGCAAACTTCTTTTTAATTCACTTAATAAATTTTTGTTGAGCAGCTACTGGGCATCAACTGCTGTGCCATGAGCCCGAAATATGACAGTGATGAAAATACAGTGCTTGGTCTCACAGACCTTAAATTCCCCTGGGCAGTTCAAAGAGGTGAACAGCAGCCGATCTTGCATGGGACTCTGCGGTTTCTGGGAGGGGCATCTACTCCCACAGGGTGTCAGTGAAGGCCTCACCCTAACCCTCACCCTGAGGGAGGCCACCGTAGCCACCGTAGGACCAGACCATGATGCTGAGTATTTGGGCTTCACAGAGAGCAACAACTGCCTGGGCATGTTCTAGTGCCAGCCGGAGCAGCTGCAGCCCCTGCCCCTGCAGCCCAGTTTTCCCTAGGGAAGGCACAGGGCCTGGAAGCTTCAGTCCGGCCCATGGGCCAGAGTGAAGTTTTTATCTGAAATGATGACTTGGTTTTTGTATCCTATTTCTAAATAGGGAATTTTTTCAGCCTCACGAATGTCATGTGCACTGAGTTCCTTCTTTCACCTCTTTAAAAAAAAAAAAAAAACAACCTTCATGAGAGTGGTTACCCTCATATAACAGAACAGGACATTCGAAAGTACAGAAGCTTGTGCTTCTTTGGGTAGGAATAAGAGCCTCCTTTAGCAGTTTGTGGATTATAAGGGTGGGATCACTTGGTTTATTGTCGTATGAATCACCTCTCTTTCTTCCTCTCCATTCACTTTCCCTTTCCTTTCCCACCCTGAGTTGCCCATAATAAAGACTTACTCTTCTCAAGTGAAGGAGATGGAGGTGGAGGAGAAAGTGCAGGGAAATAATGAAATAGGGCAGGCGAGGGAGCCAAAGAGGGGATGAGGAAGAGCAGAAACACTGGCCCATGCTGGCCCTCACTGAAGGGAGGAACATGCAGCAGAAGGTCCCAGCCCTCAGGTCTCTGCCATTCCTACGCTTCTGCTGTGTTCTGGGAGTTGCAGTCTCTTACCTTGCTCTACTGGACAGCTGAACCACGGTGCTTTGCAAAACCTGGTCCATGGGACACTAAACACCCGATAGTTAGGTTGCAGTATGGACCCTACATTTCATCCTGGGCTGTATCCGTTATGGTGATATGGAAGTGAAGATCTGGTAGTAAATCGCATTGCATCAATGTTAAACTTCCTGGATTTGATCCCCATACTTTGTATAACTGACTAGCCATGCTCTTAGGACATACATACTAAAAGATTTAAACTAAAGGGGCTTGGTGTAGGTAAACGACTCTGAAATGGTTCAGGATGAAAGTCTTTGCATGTGGAGAGAGAGGCAGAGGGACAGCAAAGGTGGCAAAAATGTTTATAGTTAGTGAATCTGGTTAAATGGCACATAGCAGTTTTTATTCTTGGAGCTGGGGATGTAGCCTAGTGGCAGAACCTAGCCTGAACAAGGAGCTGGATTTGATCCCCAGGCATGCCAAAAGAGGAGGAGAAAGAGGAAGAGGAGGGGGGCAGGACGAAAGTGGGAGGAGGAAGAAATGATTTACAGGAAACAAAATTAGTTTCCCAAAGGTCAAAAATGTGGTGCTGGACAAGACATACCACAATTATTGAGAGATTAACTTAAAATATTGTACCAAAGCATGAGCTTTGCCCTAGAATTCTAGAACCTGTATCCCTGGGGCTGAGGCCTGGGAACTAGGAATAAAATATTAAGTAAGCATTTTCAGTGACTCCTGTGAGCCCTAAAAAGTATAACTTTCACCTGTTGTATCAGGGCACTGTAGGACCTCACAGCATCAGTGCTCTTGGTATTTCTTAAATTAAAATTCCAGCAAAGTCCCATGGCCCAGTCCATCACTGGATGTCATACCTATCACAGACTCCTACAAATTCAGCCTTTGTCTACTTTGTGGTCAAGAGCCTGGCCCAGCATCATTGGCTGAAGACTCTCATACTTCAGTCCTCTTTGAGATGCCTCTTTTTTTTTTTTTTTTTTTGGAAAAATGTAAAACAAAATTTCACAGCAAAAAAGTGCTAGGACAAGGAAAAGGGAAAGAAAGGAAAGGAAAAATATCTCTTTTGACTGAGCTAAATTCACTTTCAAACTGGGCGTGGTGGCGCACACCTGTAATCCCAGAACTCAGGAGGCTGAGGCAGGAGGATCGTTGCAAGTTCGAGACCAGCCTGGGCGACAAAGTGAGCTCAAGGCCAGCCTGAAGTGCATAGCAAGACCCTGTCTCAAAAAGACAAAGAAAAAGACAGATTCACTTTCAAAGGCTGATAAGAAAGCCCTGTCGCTGACTCACCCAACACAACATTCTTAATAAAGAGCCCTACCACAAAGACCTTTTAGGTAGGCAGCATGGGTGTCTTTCCCAAAAAAGAATATTGACTCCTATAAATTAGAGGTACTGGGGAACTTTTACCAAACCTAAACACTGTCTATGAAAAAGCAAAACTTTAGGGGTTCACTATGCAACTGAAAAGCAAGTTTTCCCAGAGGAACAATGGTTTCAGCACATAGACCAGGTAGTACATTTCAGCACATGATGCATAAAGAAATGGATAGTCTATCAAGACTTTATGAGAAAATTCCAGGATGGTAGAGTAAAGATACCCAGCATTCACCTCCTGCTCCACCAAGGTGAGCAAAGAGCAACAGGTGCACACATGGGTTTCAAGGTGAGAGACCAAGGAAGAATACCAGACCTCACCAAGCTCTCTTGTGACTGGAACCTTGTAAGATTCAGAAGTCTGGGACAGTAGCATAGAAAGATAGAAAGAAAAAAGGAAAGAAGGAGAAAAAAAAAACAAAAGAGAGAGAGAGAGGAAGGAAGGAAGAAAGAGAGAGAGAAAAAGAAAGAAGAAAGAAAGAAAGAAAGAAAGAAAGAAAGAAAGAAAGAAAGAAAGAAAGAAAGAAAAGAAAAGAAAAGAAAAAAGAAAAGAAAAGAAAAGAAAAGAAAAGAAAAGAAAAGAAAAGAAAAGAAAAAAGAAAAGAAAAGACCCCAGCATCTCCCTCCCTGGCAAGAGAGAAAGAGCGAGCCCTGGGGAAAGCCCGACAGTGCAGATGCCAGCAGTCCCAGCTACAAGGTCAACAGACTTCACAGGCTCGCAGCCCACTTAGATAAGAAACCTGGAATCTGCTCAGCAGCCTGGCTTAGGAAAAGAATCTCGCATCACCTGCAAGTGAATAGAAGGGACCTAATTCTGAGTTTGGTCACTTTAAGGGTCAGAAGCCCCTGCATACTTCCATCTCTGAGACCCCCACAGATGACACACTACACTGGCACAGGGAGGGACTGCCTCAAACACACACACACACACACACACATACAGTTAGTCCAGGAAAGCAGCTGTAACCTAAGCCCCCTGGGTGCCCTGCACAGTAGGGAATGGGTGACATGGGGGAGGATGGAGGCACCATCCGAGAACCAGATCAGATGGAGCAAGATCTGAGACCAAGGGCACAGCAGGCCACGAGTGAGCTCCCACCTGTCCAAAGTGTGAAGGCCCGTGTGGCTCTCAGCACTACTCTGCACCGCACCCTGCCCAGGCACCTACTGCTGCCAGGGAAAGGAGGAAACGCCATCGCTCAGAGCAAGACTTGAACAGCTCCGTGGCCTAAGCCGTCTCCGTCCTTCTGTGCACAGCCAAGGCAGCCAGGAGCAACTCTGTGCCACTCCGGCCACGGTCCCAGGCCGGGCGTGCAGTGCCACTAAAACAGGGGAGATATCACAGTTTCCACTGCAGTGCCACCTGCATGATTCCTGGGGCCACTACACCCCCTCCCCTTGTCTGGGCACACTGTGTGTGAGCACCACTGAGGGGGTGATGCAGTTCCCACCTCGTCCTCTCCCCGTGGGGTTTCTGGGTCCACACCACTGAGTGGCCAGAAGACAGGTGCATTAGACCCTAGTACCGCTAGAGCCACCAGTGCCCGAGGCGCTTGCTGCAGCATAGCCAGCCACGGTAGTTCCTGAGGAAATCCCCGTTGCTCAGTGGGGTCAGCACTTGCACCTAGGAGCAACAGAGACTACACTCTGGTGCCCAGCTGGAAATACGTCAACGCTGCTTAACAAGCCAACACTGCAAGACACTTCTTCAGGGGAAAGCTACTTACTTAACAAGGCTACCCAACAAAAGTGGTAAAGAGAGTGGTAAAGTCACCAGGCATGAAAGTCTCAAAAGAGGCACACAAGAAATACAAAACATCTAGGTAATATGATGCCTCCAAAGGAACATAGTAACTCTGTACCAACAGACCCCAAAGACATTCATAAAGATTAAATATCTGATAGAAAATTTAAGAGAACAAGTTGGGCATGGTGGTGCACACCTGTAACCCCAGCACTCTGGAGGCTGAGGCAGTGAGTTTGACCTCAGCCTGGGTACATAAACAAGGTCAAGGTCAAGGTTGTCCTGCACTACATAGCAAAACCCTGTCTCAAAAAAAAAAAAAGATTTTAAAAAGAACAATTCTAAAAAATGTCAATGATATTTAAGAGAATACAGAGAAACAGTTGATGGAGCTCTAGTGGTACAATCGGTTAGCACACAGCACTTATACAGAAAAAATTGTTTGAAGTGGAGATGATAATGCACGGTACAAAAGAGAAATTCAACAAAGAGATAGAGACTTTGAAATGTACAAAACGAGCCAAGTGTGGTGGCACATGCCTGTAATTACAACACTTGGGAGACTGAAGCAGGGGGATTGCCATGAACGTGAGGCCAGTCTCGGCTACATAGTGAGACCCTGTCTTTAAAAAAGAAGAAACCTTGGAAATAAAGAACTCAGAGGCCAAAGATTTAGCTGAGTGGTACAGCACCCACCTGGCAAGCGTGAGGTCCTGAGTTTGATTCCCGGTAACCTCCCCTAAAACAACAAACATTAGAAATTGTGCAAATACATGGACACTGAACTGAGCCACTGAGAGGTAAGAAGGGAAATTTAAAATTTGTGCTGAATAAATGAAACAATAACTCAGCATACCAAGACAAGAGTGCCCACTTTCACCACTTTTATTCAATACAGCACCAGAAGAATTAGTCAAAGCAATTAGGAAAGAGAAAGAAAAAAAAAGCATGCAGATAGAAAGGGAGGAAGTCAAATTATCCCTGTTTGCAAATGATATGATTGTATACATAGAAAAACCTAAAGACTCTACCACAAGACAATTAGAACTGATAAACAAATTCAGTAAAATAACAGAATACAATATCATCACAAAAATCAATGGTTTTCTATACACCAATAATGAGTTTGCTGAGGAAAAAAAAAAAACATGAAAATAATCCCATTCACAATAGCTACAAAAATGGTAAAATACCTACGAATAGCTGTAACTGAGGAAGTAAAAGACATCTACAATGAAAAGACTTCTACCCAATGAAAAAAACTGAAGACACTCACACAAGAATGGGCAGAATTCCATATCCAATGTTCACTGGAAGGAGCAATATTGTTAAAATGCATACACTCTCCAAAATAATCTACAGATTTGATATAATCCCCATCAAAATACCATTGGTATTCTTCATCCAACTAGAAAAACAACACTGAAATTCATCTGGAAACACAAAAGATCCTTAATGTCCAAAGTAATCTTGTGCTAAAAGAACAAAGTATAGGGCTGGGGATGTACCTCAGGGATACACTTGTATCACTGAGTGAGGCCCTGGATTAAAAGGCCCACTAAAAGAAGAAGAAGGAGGAAGAGGAGGAGGAGGAAGAAGAGGAGGGGCCTGGAAGCATCACAATACCTGATTTCAAGGCATACTACAGAGCCATAGTAACCAAAGCAGCATGCTATTGGTATTAAAACTGGCATATTGACCAAAGGAACAGAATGGTGATCCTGGAAATAAACCTATGGATCTATAGCCAACTGCTTCTCAACAAAGGTACCAAAGTATACATTGTAGTAAGGACAACCTTTTCAGTAAATGATACTGGGAAAGCTTATCCAGCTATGCAGAAGAACGAAATCCTGTCATTTGCAGGAAAATGAGCAGAACTAAAGGACATCATGGTAAGTGAAATGAGGCAGGCACAAAGTCAGGTACTGCACGTGCTTTCTCACATACACAAACTGAAGAAAGTCAACCCACAAGTAAAATAATGACAACTAGAGACAGAAAATGTGTGCAATTAATATATAATAAAAGTAAATGTTAAATTAAGAAATACTTTATGAGCATCTGGCTTTCCCTTAAGGAATGGTTACCTGGATGATGCCATTTGGCTGTAGGAAGCCCATTCCTGAAATACCATATTTCTACATTACAGTAAGGGTAGAGTCAAAACTGTAGGAGGTAAGAAAGTTGTCAACATTGTGAAGGAGTCACTTGTATCAAACTCAGACAAAACAGAGTCAGGAGGCTAAGAAGGCAGGGCCCACATACCCACATGCCTTTGATAAGAGCTATCATAAAGACCCTCTGAAAGACTCTACACACATAAACCTGCAACAAGAACTTCCACCAAAGACTTGGAAACTTCAGTTTGCTACTTTAGTCCCAAGGACAGCTAGCCCGACGCACAGGAACACTTGTTTGATATATGGGCTCCACGAACGTACTGACATCAATTCCGGGGACAAGCTCCAGGAGCCAGCACTCTCTTTGTTTCAGAATGACTTGGCTGCTGCTCATCCCTTTGTCTTTAAAGGCTTCCTCTTACCTCAGCCCTCCTCAAATTAATCCCATGGTTGCCATGGCAACCATGTCCCACATTGCAACACCCAGCTGTTTCAAATTAAACTCATTTGTAAAGTCACTCTTCTTATTTATTCTTTAGGTTGACAGAGACAAACTGGAAGGGAGGATGTGAAACTTTGAGTCTTTCATTCCAAGGCTTTTACCCCTTCCTGACCACTACTCCATCAGTAAGTCTTATAAATTCTGTTTCTAATGTGGACTGAATTATGTCCACCCACCTCCAATTCGCACAGGGAAGCCCAAACCCACAATGTGACAATGGGATGGCATTTGGAGGTGGGGCTTTGGGAGGCAATGAGGGTTAGGTGAAGTCGGGAGAGCAGAGCTCTTGGGATGGGATTAGTGCTCCTCTAAAATAAGATATGACAGCACTTGCTTCTTCTCCCTCTCCGTAGCACTCAGGAGAAAGGAAGTCATCCAGCATCTCAACCTCAGATTTCTCAGGCACTGGAACTGTGGGAAATAAATATACATTGCTCGAACTACCCATCCCATGGCACTTTGTTATAGCACCCAAGCTGAGACAATTTCCAAAACAAATCCCCAGTGCATCACTTTTCTCCAACTCTACTGTCACCAACCAATTCCAAGTGACCATTGTCTCTCCCTGGGCCAGTGGTCTCCTGTTTCTATTATTCTCCCACATGCAGCAATTAGAATTGCTTCTTAAACTTGCCAAGCCCAAAGAAAAATGTCTACTTCCGGCCCAAATGGAGTAATAGGAACTAGATTTTTCCTCCTACCTAAAACACCTGAAAAAAAAGAAAAAGACAAAATATATGAAACAAAAAAGTTTGAGACACTGGACAGGAAAGGCAATTATACCCAAGAACTAAAAACAAAGGTGGTGAGCCTTCCATACCCCAGGCTATTGTCTTATAAGAGTTTCCAAGTTATGGCACAGAGAGAAGCAACCCAGCCCAGCAAACTCTTGGCACTGAGAATACAGAGTTGAGAGTCCTTGAGGTCCACAGTGGCTAGAGATTAGGAGAGAGTGCAAGAGAAAATAAAGTGCATCAAGAGAGAAACTGAAGCCCTGCCGAGGGTATCTGGAGTATTCAGCAGGGTACTGCACGCATTCACTGCATGCAGATGAAAAAGCACCCAAGCTGGGAAAGGACCACCTGAAAGGATTAGAGCAGTGGTGGTGAACCTGTGGCACGCATGCCACGGCAGGGTTTGTTATCATCAAAGCCCTAAAGGATTTGCCATCACTGATTGGAGGAAAAAGTGTGAGGAATTCACTCTAGGCCAGAAATAGTGCCTGCTGCTTCCAATGAGATTGGAAAACCTCATAGTTTATGGAGGGTGATGAAGAAGAGTCTTGCCTTCAGAGAGAGAACTCAATGACCCTTGACTAGATGCTACTTAACAAATCTTAAAAGAGCTGAAATGATTAAACTGTTTCTAGAGCTAGTTCAGTTGTGGAGCACATGCTTAGTGTGCCTGAGGTCCTGGAATTCAATCTCCAGCATGGATTGTGTGTGTTGGGGATAGACAACACTGTTTCCAAGTAGCTTAGCTTTATCCCAGAGCAAAACTCAAGAATATTTAAAGATAACATATATTCAGGATAACAGACTATTTCAGGAAAACAAAGCTATCTAGAATCTAAAGTGAGAAAATTCATAATGCCTGGCATCTAAAAAAAGGACTTATAGGAGCACATAGCAGCAGCAAAACAAGGTCTGTAATAAAGAGAAAGAGTAATTCATTGAAATGGGCCCAGAACTAACGCAAATAATGTATTAAATTAGCCAATAAAGATATTAAACCAGGTATTATAATTATATCCTATATATTGAAAGAATTAAGTAGATTCATAGAAGATATTTTTAAAGACTGAAATCAAATTTCTAGATATGAAAATTACAAGATCTAAAATGAAAAGTACAATGAATTTGATTAAGAGCAGATAGAAGTTGTGGAAGCAAATATTAGTGAAATTGAAGATAGAGCAACAAAAACTGTACAAAACAGAAATTCCCAAAGTAAAAGCCTAGAAAAATAAATACAGTATCAGTAATCTATGGGATATGAGGTCTATTCTACATGTAATTGAAGTCCCCAAGGAAAGTGGGCCATAAAGAAAAAAAAAAACTTAAGAAATAATAAAAATATTTTTAAAATGAGTGAAAACTATAAATCCAGACATCCAAGAAGCTCAGCACACCCCAAACAAAAGAAGCAGGAAGAGAACTATACAGAGGCACAGAATGGCATAGGGGAGGAGGGAGAGAATGACTAATAGATACAAGGGGGTGGGCCAATAGGAGGAATAACTTCTAATGTTCTAGAGCACGGTAGGTTACCTATGGTTGACAACAGTTAATCAAATACGTAAAAATAGCTAGTAGAGAAGATTTTCAATGTTCCTGTGACTGTGATCTGTGCTTTGTCAGCTTGACTTAATTAAGTAAGAGCTGCCTAGCTGTGGATATCTGGGGATGATTAACACATAGGCAAAAAAATAAGGAGGGAATGATGTGAATGGCACCAACCAATAGGCTTGTAGCCTGGATGGAGAAAAGGGAAAGAAGAAAGAAACCTTCCCTTTTCTTCTGTGAAGGAACTTCAGTCTTCCCCCTTAGACATTTGTCTCAAGTTCCTTCAGGCTTCCAAGGGCGGACTTTTCAGCCTTCCAACATGGACACTTCAGGTTTTCAGCACAGACTCACACCAGACTCTCCAGTGAGCTCCATGCCCGTGACCTTGGGCTGGATCCTCCTGCTCTCCAGTGCACAAACAGCCATTTTGCAATTTCCACCCCCATTTCCACAGGCAGCCATTATAAGCCTCCCTTGTAAATCCTTTATATGATGATACATATATATTTTATGTTAAATCTGTCCCTCTAGTGAACTCTACCTGATACATCCACATAAAGAAATTATAAATCTTAGAGATGTATGAGATACCAATTATCCTGATTGGATCATTATACAATGTATTCATGTACTGAAATGCCACACTGTTCTCAGAAATATTACAATTACTAACAAATATGTACAGTTATGAGTCAATTAACTTTTTCAAAAAAATAAATTTTGAAAACGTATTTGAGAAAAAAAGTATACCAAAGCACACATATAATCTAATCATCCCAAACCAGTGCTAATAAGAGTAAAGAAAGTATCTGGGGAGAAAGAAACAGAGGAACAGAGAACCAAAGGCAAGGATGAAGACAGATTTTTTACTAAGAAAAATGGAAATGAGAAGATAGTGTAGGACCACCTTTAAAGTACTGGAAGAAAAAACACTGTGGTGGAGAAATTATACTTCACAATATTTTATAAATAACTAGAAGGAAACTGAGGGCTCCAAACACAAAGTAACGATAAGAAGATGAAAATGTTAATATCTGCTTTGATCAGTGTACATTATATACATATGTTGTATCCATAAACATTATTGCATGCTAATCAAAAATTTTTAAATGGTTAAGGAAATGGAAATGTTAACTACCTTGATTTGGCCATTATGCACTGTACATGTATCAAATTACCACACTGTATCCCATAAATTTATACTACTGAAACAATATTTAGCCAGACATGGTGGTGCATGCCTGTAACCCCAGCACTTGGAAGGTTGAGGCAGGAGGATCATCATGAGTTTGAGACCAGCCTGAGCTCCAAAGTGAGCTCAAGGCCAGCCTGAACTGCATAGCGAGACACTGTCTCAAAAAGACAAAAATAAATAAATAAATAAAACAATAGTTAATGAAAAAAGAAAAGAAAAAAACACTGTGAATTTAGAATTCTATAATAATGATATATTAAAGCTGAAAGAATTCAGTACCAACAACTCACACATTTAAAAATTTTAAAGGAAATTCTTCAGACAAAAGGAAAGAGACATGAGATGAAAATCTGTATCTACACAAAGGAATGAAAAATATCCCCAATGCATAAAGGAATTTTTCATATGACTTAAGTCTCTTTAAAAGATAATTAGACAAGGCACAAAAGCAGAATGCAATCCCAGATCTCCAGGCCACACAGAACAAGTACAGGGAACAACAATATAGAGGAAAGCACAAGTCATCCACTTGGATTTTCTGAAATGGCAGTAGCAGAAGTTAAAAAGAAAAAACAGATAAGTGAGGTTACAGAGAAAATTAGATCAACAATAATCTCTCATGTTAAAAAAGAGATAACAATCAAAATGAAAGACTCAGAGAATCTAGAGTAGACACCAATTAAAAAAATAGAGAAGCTTAGGAAAATGATGGAAACCATGAATGCCCAACATAGGAAAGACATGGAATCCATGAAACAGGTATCCAGGAGATTAAAAAATTCCATTGAAAGTATATGTAGCCAACCGAAGCAAAGTAAGGACAGAATATCAGACTGAGAAGACAGGGCTGGAGTTAGCAATCATGAGAGAAAGATTTCTTTCAAATAGCAAGGGACCATGAAAAATCAATCCAACATCTGCAAGATGATTCAGAGACAAACAACATAAGCTTGATTACAGTCAATGACAAAGCAGGAGACAGAGCAAATGCATTAAAAAAAAAAAAACTTATTTACAGAAGGAATGGCAGAAAATTTCCCAAGCATGAAAAAAGAATTTGACATAAAATAACTGAGGCATATAGAACTCCAATTAGCCACAACCAAAATAAAACTACATGGAGACATATAATAATCAAGATACCAGAAATTTTGCACAAGAATAGAATGTTAAAGCTATTAGAGAAAAGAAACAAATCACCTATAAAGGAAAGCCCATCAGAATCACAGCAGAGTTCTCAACATCAGTCCTTAAGTCAAGGAGAGCTTCCAGTGAAGTATTTCAAGTCCTGAAAGAAAACAACTTCCAGACCAGACTGATGTACCCTGCAAAACTGTCTTTCAAAAATCAATGGAGATACCTGCCTGGCAAAGGCAAGGTCCTGAGTTTGATTCCCAGTACCAAAAAATACAAACAAACAAACAAAAAAAAAAAAAAATCAATGGAGAAATAAGATACTTCCATGACAAAAAACAACTGAAGAAATTTATCACCACCAAACCAGCTCTACAAAAGGTTCTGGAGGATATTTTAGAAAGTGATAAGGAAGACCACAATCCTAGAACACCATTAGAAAGAATCCACCAGGCAAGGTAAGCAATTAAACAGAGGGGAAAGACAGGGAACAAACAATAGGAAAATAACA